ACATCAGTTTATCTGTAAATGAATTACAAAAATTTATTCCTGTTAGTACTATAAATGCACGTGCAGTCCGCAAGGTGTCCCGGCCTGGTCTGAGAAATTAAAATCAAAGAAATTTATGCAGAATTATCTCCCGTACACTGTGTATATATCTCCTGTGTTATGAAAAAGGACATCAAGATTTTTCTGAAATGTTCGTCATATTCACAATAAACTATGGTCAATTTGGAGGGAAGCGTTCCGGTAACATTTAACAGTACATGTAGATATCTACCCGTAAATATTTAATTTATCGGTATGTAAGCGTAACTCATAAACTGTAAGCCGTAAAGACCTTCAATCTTTTGATTTGAGATCCTTAAGTCATAACTTTTGGAAATGAAGTCGAGGTCAAAGGTCATGGTCATATTCTGAATTTTGACCTTTGCTCGTGTGTGCAATTCCTCGTAAACAATGAAAGTTAGATACAAAAGAACTAATGCAAAATGTTTGGGTTGTTGGGAGGACGAAATGGTATAGTTTGTCCAAAGTTAACCGCCCTGAAATGAAAAAAAAAACAAAAAAAGTTCAATTGATTATTACTGCATACTAATACATGATAAAGTCGTGGTATCGGGTCTTTTGCAAAAGGTAAGTTGACATATGACCTTGAAAGAGATCAACTGGAAGTGACCTTGTTCGAACAGGTATTATTTTGCACTTTTTGAAGGGAAGAGAACTTAGAACCATATACTTTTGAATAAGTGCAAAGAATGCTATTTTATTGCAAGGAATGTGACCTATTTGAAACCGGAAGTGGCTGATTATCTCCATTATTTAAAAGAAAAGACCCTAGCAACCACTATAAAGTTTCTTTATAGATAACACCGGAAGTGATCTTATATTAAACATAAGTACAGAACTATCTCCATTACTGTGGATAAATTTATTTTCTTGAGTACCAATTTTCATGGATTGAGAAAATCTTGCATTTTTGTTGATATTTGACTTCGTGGTTTTGCCAAAATGTACAGAGATTTATATAGAAAATTTTACAATTCGTTGAACATTTAAATTCGTGGTTCCCCTGCTCTCCGGAAATCCACGCAATTTGGTATCTAACGAATAATAATGAATCCACAGCTTGAACAGAAAAAATCCTAGCAACCATATACTTTTGGAATCAGTATAAAATGTCCTTTCATATATAACACCGGGAGTAACTTATTACGTCTCATATTTCAAGTGTTCAGCTTAGCTGTTTTCACAGACCTTATTTTTTTAATTTTTCAATTTTTCATAATTGTCTTATCACATCACTTATGTCATCATCATGTTGATAGACCTTTAATTGTTCTATGAATAATTGTTTTTTAACAAGGCCTTTATTTTGATGTCAACATAACATGTTTGAGGGATTAAAATCCACTCTGTATACTTTGAAAGTCGATGTGTCTTAACTCAAGATGCGACAGTAAAACATACGTTTAACATGTGTTTGTGGTCGTATATCTGTAATTAACACATGGCTGGTATTCAAATATTGGTGCATATATTACGGGAGACAATTACCCAACCAGTGAACCATTTCTTGGTACTTTAGGATTTCATACAATCTCATCGGATCGGGTTTTTATTTAGATGTTTATGTCCTAAATAGATTTTCTACTATACAAATGTAGGTGTATAGAAAACAAGAAGCGTAAAACGTATAGTCGCAGTTCAAATCTTGTTCTCATCATTGTTCAGTTTAAGTCCTGCTGATTTCGATCAAAGACAACATCAACGTTTGAGAAGTAAACATAACTGTACGATTAAGCGTTACTGATAAATGGCAGACTATTGCTTTTCTCTCTGTTTCTAAATCTCGTACAAATATTTTTTTTATTTTCATACAGTTTACAAATATTTCCTATTTATTAGTTTTGAAAATCAGAAGACCTACAATACAGTAATATCCTATTTATACTTGTTCTCATTCATAATAAATGAATAGATTCTTACAAAGGAAAACTCTTTATCAAATGTGTAATCGAGCATGTTATCTGTTACGGACACAATCGCAACAAAATAAATTGGATGACCGTTATGGTGTTTTGGGTTTCAAGTTAAGTACAACATGTTTTGGCGTTCTTCGATTTTAAGATACACAGGTTGGCCAAGTATGATAAGTTTCAGATTGTGTAAATTTCTTTAATGAAATATTTGATTGCATTGCAGATGATAGATATATAGTAAAGCATTCTGATTTTGTTCCGTCCTTTTTATCTTGGTTTACAAATTTGATATGCGGGATTTGAACATAGGTCAAATACGGTTACATACCTTATATTACTGTTACAATAAAACCTAAAAAATCTGTACTTTAATATATTGACATATAAAACATAAAGTAAAAAGTAACTTTAAATGTATCTTTGTCACTATTAAATGAAGAGAAGAATGCTTAAACTTAATCAAGATGTATACACTGAAAAACTTTATTAGCAGGTGCCACTATTGAAGCAGAAAGTTAAATCACAAACATACTGAACTCCGAGGAAAATCCAAACGGAAAGTCCCTAATCAAATGGCAAAATCAAAAGCACAAACACATCAAACGAATGGAAAACAACTGTCATATTCCTGACTTGGTACAGGCATTTTCTTAAGTAGAAAATGGTGGATTGAACCTGGTTTTATAGCGCTATACCTCTCACTTGTATGACAGTCGCATCAAATTCCATTATATTAACAACGATGCGTGAATAAAACAAACAGACATAATAGGTAAAAATGTAAAATAGGGTGACAGCAGTCAACACCAAGTCACAATCTTAATCACAACAAAAACGAACAATTATTTAACAAAGAAGTACAAAAAAGCATATACTACATTTAACAACCTCGTTCATTGCTTACTTCTTTTTGTATTTTATTTATGTATGTCAAATCAACCCATAAATGATCGAGGGATTTTAAGCTCTAGGACCGAATCGTAATTTTAACATTAACTCTGGCGTAGAATAGCGTGTTTGACGTCAGAATGTAAACGTCACACAGGTAGAGATATAAAATAATTTTGTCGTTCTAAGTATGCAAAAATTATAATAGAACAATAACACAATGGCGGGATGTTTAAAGTACAGAGTCGAATATATCTTGGTATTTTCTGTCTGTTTCCATACACAATAGTTACAGGTGCTCCACATA